AGTGCAAAGTTTTAAGCCTCAAGTGTATCCATAACTATCTTGATAGGGGTTTCTATTAGCATTACAAGCTAGCGTGAGTCTGCGTTCTTTTTCTTTCTCTCTCTCTATCTCTCTCTTTCTCTCTTTCTCTCCCTCTCTCCTCCAGCATTCCCAACCCACGACTTCAAAATGAAGATCATACATTTCATTGATTAATATATAAGTACTCAGCGTTCACCCAACGAATACGCTTGGGCACAGAAAGAAATTATTTTATTTTGGACATAAAATGAATCGCAGTGGTAAACGATTCTCACGTAGAGCTCAAGGTTAACGACCATGGCAAGCTTGACCTTAAAGCAACATACAGCGCAAGACAAAAAGCTCACAGAAATCAGTAAGGAGATTACACTTGACGGGGCCCTTCTTTCACAAGCGCAACACCTTGTTATTGTCACAACCAAATGAAATCTTGTGATTTTGTTCCTCGCAAGCAACTGTCCGGCCAAATCACGCCTTCGTATTATTCCTTCGACGTCTGCCAAGAAAGCTTTAGCATAATTCAGAAAAACTGCGATCTTTGACAAAATTTTGGAAAACAGTTCTCAAGGAAGGTTCAAGCTTAGCCGCTCTTTTAAAAATTTTTGTTTAAGATATCAGAAAGAAATCTTTTCTAACTATTTTCAATAATATGGAAATGGGGATGGAGGATATTTTATGATACAGGTTAAAATGTAGATGCAACAGTAGTTCATGAAGCGCGAAACGTACTTTGCAAATGCTCAATTTTTGAAATGAGGTAGAGGGTTAAGTAGGAAGAAATTTACTCCCAGGTTAAGGAATTCATGGCCACGTGAAACTTTAGGCAAGAAAGGAGTTTCCTCGTGACCCCCACTCCTTTCTAACACAAGGGATGGGACTGTAAGCGGGAAGTGATGGCTGTTTTTTGGCTCGAAAGACAACGTTACCATAACATTCTGAATTAAATCTTTCCACATATAACATACTTTATGATTGGTCAGTTATAGGTGCCATACTATTTACAGCACGTGCCACCTGTCACATGCTACATTGAGCCAATTGTCGTTTTCCTAAGTTCGATTTCTGTAACTCGCGTGTTCGCGTGAGCAATAGAACCATTGATCATGATCCGCATCTTTGACACGAAACTCTGTAACTATTTTAAGAGGAGCTCTTGAATTCCCTCGTCACGTTCACGGCTCTTTTCATTTTCTCGAATTGAGGGAAACGTGCCTTCTTTGTAGAGGACAAAGAATATGTTTAGATCATTCTTTATTGATGAAAAATAGAAGTCGTGTCGGTTTAAAAAAAGCAGCGGTGGCGGTGATTGTTGTGTGAAGTCTTTTGTGAGAACAGATAAATGATCCTTTGTTCGGAAGCTTGTTAGTTGGTAAAATAATCAAATGGATTGCCTTTGGGTTGGGGACAAAAGAACACATGGGTGGAACTAAGCGCAAAGAAAACACTAAAACAAAACGAGTCAAAACAATATTATCAATATCAAAAAAGTTAACGGAATCAACAAGATAAAGTTAACGAAGCGTTACAAACCCCACAAAGGAAACCCGTCAGTTGCAAACCGAAAGCGTTCCTGACAATTTCTGTTATCTGGCGTAGCAGAAACTTATCATGTATAACACTACTCGTTTTGACAGTAAGAGAAAAGGCAACCCTTATGCATACAGTATTGTTGTGAACCGATTTTTACTTATAATGATTTTTCTAGGCCATAGTTGTGCCATTTTAATTGGCTGCTACCCTATCTTTCACGTTGGAAACAGCTTGCACGACGTTATTCTATGCATGAACTTAACAACGACGGTGGATCGTAAAACAAAAATCTCTCGCGATTCTAGCGAAAACAATGGAGTGACATTGAACGAGAAAAATGAGACCGATGTAAAATTGAGCAGCTGGTTGAAAAATTCTGCTTCGCATTGCATTGAGCATATCCTTGGAAGTTGAGTCTCGTTTAATTTTTAAACAGCAGGAGTTTTGCTGAACTTTATTTAGCCATTTTTTTCTCCAGCGTTACGTAGAATACAAGAGCAAAAGTTCACTTAGTAAGACTCATGAAAAGCTCATTTTCTGTGGCTCGCTATGTGAATTTTAGAAGTACACTTACTTACACCCATCAGCAAGTAATTCTTAGGATAGAAACTAGCAAAGAAGTCCTCAAACGAAAGCTCGCTTCCGAATTGATCTTCTGCGCTTGTGATTTTTGTTGTTGATTTTATCAAAAGATTAGACCATAAAGGGGCAAAATAGTCGTTTGACTGTTATAATTCCCTTCTGTTTTTTTAATTTAATTATCTTTTTTGTGTCGACTGGAGATTATAACGTTAGTTAAAGTCGCGTTCCATATCAAAACGTGTTTTTAGATGAACAATTCTTTTAAACAATTGCAAAAAAGTCATTTGATTATAAAGATCATCGTTATTTCATGGCAAACCGAAGCTGCTTTCTTTTGTTGTGGTTTTATTTCTCTCGCGTTCTTTCTCGCCCATGACAAAGCACATACTTATCATTTGGTTATCAAGGGCCTTTAAGACGTTTTAGTGAATTTCAAGAGACCATTTTACACGCTACTAAAGCGGCGCCTAGTGAAGTACGTCTGAGCAGGAATTGCCACCCCAAGGGCACTTGTGAAGAACAAAACCTCTTGCATCATAATTTACGTACTGAGCTAATTAATTTACTCCCGATAGACACCACGACTTTATAAGCACTTGAAGTACTTGGGAAACACACAGGTAAATGGCCTGCGGTTTTTGATGTAGTTCTATTTTTAAGTGGCCATGTTGTTCAGTCTGCGCACTTATCTAATTTGTTTGTCTCTGAAAATGATTAAGAATGTGTTATAAACCATCTTTCGTCAGCTCGTTCTTTACAAACCTATGAACATTACTTCTTTATGATTCCTACGTAAAATTTTTATGCTGTTTTTATTGCCTATTTTGTTTATGCTCCTTGAACGACTGCTCAAGGGAGCGCTGGCATTGTAGTGAGACAAAGTGCAATGCAGTGATCACTTCGTTGTCTAAAACCAAGTAGTATAACGATAGTATAGACTAACCTTTCTGGAAATAAAACAAAACTGTTTTTGTAGTCGTTTCATTACTCTGAGATGTGATTACCTTTAAGGGTTTTGTTTTTATTTTAAACTTGTAAGTGCTCTTCGCCTTTCAGGAAGAAAGGGGCCTTTCTTAACTAATGACCCACAAAACCATAGACGCCTTTCTGAAGTTTTCTTCTCGATTACAGTCATACGTTTTGTTCTAAAAGTATGCATTTGTCGAGACTTTTAAGAATAAAACGTACTAATACAACCTAAAAACGTCGCTTAACCAAGTTTAAGAATCAGAAAGGAAAGCATTAGATAGACTATCAGATTTTTTGAACATAATTTAACACATTGAATCGTTTTACAAATTCCATAAATTCCTGGAGCTTTACTTAAAACTGTTTCTTTCTGTTTGAGCTCTAAAAAAGGGAAAACTCGGACACCTTGGCTTTACTACCAAATAAATTCAGAGACGAAGACTAATTTAAAAAGATTTCTATGACTGGAATGTACTATAACAAAAAAAATGATCGGAAAGATTAACAAAGCGCCGGAAACGTGGGTTTGAGCGATGTATCAGCGCATCTTCTACTCAATAACAAAAAAAAATTGGACTCTCAAAGTTCTAGAACAATATCATAATGGAGGTGCACGTTGCGGTTCGCCCACATGCCGGATGTTTCTCAGCTGGGCTTCGAGGTATCGAAGTGGAAAATTACGTTCATTCAAGCGACGCTACGTTAGAATATTTTAACTGAGTTGCGCTCACGCTTCAGTAGCTCGCCTTTAATACTGAGGTTGCAAATGGAAAAAGTCATTCTATAGTTTTGTGCAGTTGTAACGAGTAGCATTTTCAGTGTAAAACAAAGCTTTTTTTTCTGAGCTATACCTCGTTTAATTTCTTTAGCAAATAATTTTGAAGGGTGAAGCAAAATTGTTTAAACCTGTTGCTACTTTGACCAAAGTCGTCAAGTATAGTGTTATGGCAGCGTTCTACGTCAAATGTAACCCTCTTTCTAGGAAATATTCCAGTGTTTGAATTTTACATGCATCGGGTCGGTTAAGCTGAGGCACGTGCGTACGGGTTGAAAAATGACTTGAGAAGTAAATTCAAATCTTACCCAGTCCGGTATCGTGCTCATTTAGAACTTTTTGTTAATTGCGGCGATATCGGCTTTGAAACGACCTGATCACAATATTTGCGAAAAACGTGAATTGTACTCCGCGCATGTTAAGTCAATTATTCCTAGTTGTTTTAAGTTGTGAAGCTAAAAATGAAGACGATTTACCTTTTCCTTTCTTTCTTTTCTTCTGTAAAGCGTGTTCTATGGCGTTACTCGTTATTCACACCATAAATATTGGGGAAAATTGACTGCGTTTTTAGTCATGGTGTTATTAGAGATGAGTGTTAACTCTTGAAGTGTTGTATTACATCGCAAGGTGGTTATTTGATTCCCCGTGTTTAAGGAGGCTGCTAAAAAGAGTTCGTCTGTTATTAAGCTGTCACTAATTTTACTTCACTGTGAAGACACAACTCATTACACTGAAAGAATAACAAAGCTACATGCGTAAAACAGTAACAGTGTTTAGTATATTCATGTTGAAACATCCTCAAGGTATTTCTAACATATGAATCTCTCTAAAAACAAATCTAGATGAGAATGTCTCTATGAAGATTGAAGAGAGTTGAGAAGAACTTTTTCTCCCTATAAACTTGATGTAAAAGAAGAATTTACCCCGGATGTGAAAGCCTTTCTCGTATGTGTTACAATAGCTTTAAATTTAGAAGGAATTCCAACGTGTCGACATAAAGCTTCTCTCTCCCACACGTTTTAAGAAAAAGTTTAAGACAATTCCTATTGCTAAATATTAATTGCAGATTTTCCAAAACTCTATTTTTTCTGGCTTTCCGCTCTGAAATACTGATATAGTTGGCTTTCTTTTTCTACTAGCTTTTTTTCTTTTTGTATTTTGTGTAGTGTGCGCGCGTGTATGGTATCTGACCTTTTAAACAATTTGTTAATAACCTAAGTGAATCTGCCCTATCTTTTAGCCCTCAGTGGTTATTATGGGAAGTCTAAACTCTCCATTTTTCATGTAATATATTTTTTGTATCATGTAAATTAATTTAGGGTACAAAATAAAGTCGTTGTGTTTGAAAGAGGGGGCGTTCATTCAGGAAACCTGCTTTTTGTTTAAATTTACTCGTTTTTAGACGGGAAGTTTATTGAAATAAAAACGTATGTTTATTCATCCCACGATTGCAGTGTTTTATCAATAACTCCAATTCATTATCATTCTTCTTCGTGTATTTGTTTGTATACCTTAGTAAATTTCATGTCTACTTCTTTAATAATGAAGGTGTCATGACAACGCCCATCTTTTTAGAGGGGTTGAAAAAGCACGTAGGTGTATTTTTCTTGATTCAATGGATAATGGAAAGAATAAATACACCTTATTCAATGGTTTAATACAAAGTACGTGCTGATATTTTGCGAGTTGCATAATATTTTCATGAGCCTCGTAGGGGACAAGGAAAAATAAGATCAATGAGGAAAATACCGCTAGTATAACATATTAAACCAAAGGGGATTTATTACTCCAGATCTATTTCATTTTCTAGTCTTGTGGCATCTAGTGTTCGAAATCTAGTAGGGTCATATCTGAGCATCTTACCGACCACATATGGAGTACATGAAAGAAGAAAACAACATTAAATAATTCTTGTGGTCTTTTAAGTTAGTTGCTGAAAAAAAAAACCATGTCTAAAAAACGGAAAAGAAATCTAAGATCGCGCGGATCGTTTCTGTCCGTCTACAAAGTAATACCGTAGCATATTTTGTGCGTTCCATTGTCTTAACATGGTAAAATGACGTGATGGTGAATAATAAAGATAGTTATTCGACACTAGCTTATGGTTCATGTGCAACCACTGAAATGTACTCCTTCACTTTGTTGGCAAGCTCTTCTTTCTTGTCCTTAGATTTCACAGGGACACCTCGCTTTTTAAGCCAGTTGATCAACGTCGCCATGTTTACCTTGTGGAGCTAAATGTATGTTGTATGTTTAAGCTTCGTAATGAGGCAAAGCACTCAAGATAATAGTAAAGTGACGAACAAAAGCTGAGGGGAAGGCTGACTCCCTGATAAGTGAGAGTTAAGGGCGCGGTTCAAATTTCAAAATGAAATTTTAGGCTAAAAATCAATATGAAACTAACTGGAAGAGTGGAAAAGGGAACAGCTGTTAGCATTGATAAAACAGAGTTAAATGCCTTGACGGTTAGAAAGATGAGGATCTGCTTCCTTTGTCAGATAGCCTTAAGCTTCTTCTCGTGAAAAGAACGCATTTGGTGGACTACTGGGTTCTTCTTTGAAACAAAGTTGTTAACACATTTGAGAATTTGGAGTGAAATGAGGCTGGAATTGGAAAACAGTTTTCTCTTTGTTTTCTTTGAATTACTCATTTCTGTTCGCAACGATCACTGCTCTGCAAGCTGATCAAATTATTTTCTTGAGTTCTCGACAGACATGCAGCCTATAACTTTAGGCTCAGTGTACAATAAAGGAGACGATGCCCTTAAAGATGATAAAATCCGAGAAAAGCAATATGGAACAAGGAAGGAATACTTTACTTTACCTGCTGCTTTACGGCCAGCTCTCTTACATCCACATTCTCCTGAAGTTTCGGCTTTGACTTTGGCCCTTTAGAAGGCGTGCCTTCATTTGGAAGGCCATTGATCTGAAACGGAAAAAAGCTTTCAATCAATTTAAAGACCTAAGTAGGGATTGGATATTTTTATGTTTATTGTGACATTCCTGAAGTATCGGGGGATACTTCGGATTACAAGTGACTTCTGAATAATGTCAAAGAAGAAATAAATTACTCCATTTTTTCTGGTGTTGAAAATAAACCCGAAAAACCTCCCGAACAGAGGTTAAACCGCATAAACACTTATCGTGCTATGATAAAATCATTGCACATAAAACTATGTACCCGAACAGGAGTAGAACGAGGCTCATTCAGCAGACAGGGACTGGTGCCCGGTCTGCCATTTTCTGCTACTGATAATGAAGATCTATTTGCAGGATTACTGTTTGACGACAGACAAATTTAATTCCCTGCGTACGCGGTGTCTTCAAATGATCTGCAGTTTGTGTCATCTGTAGGGGAGGCCGCAATATTTCTACGTTTAGGCGCTTGTGTTATTATTAATCCAGGTCTCGCTTGAGGCAAGGACCTTGAAATTGGACTCGACAGGCTTAGACTGTGGCCGGAGGAGATGTCACGCCTAGAGAATGATGCCGCATTAAAAACCGTCGTGGGAGAATCCTCTGTCACACACATTGGGCTTGAAACGCTTCTCCCAATATCTTCACTTGCCCCATCACTTATACCTCGTCTTCCTTCAGCGTGAATGTTCCTGTTTTCAAGCAGAGTGCGGCTCGAGTGTGTTGATTTATTTCCCGATTCATTTCTCACTGTCTTCCTCATTTCTGCTTGGTGGAAAGCTAGCAATGAATTCGACGAATTTGAAAGTGGGCTTTTGTGCGTGTGAGCAGCGTGATAAATTGATAAAAATCCAGAGAACGCCGTTTTTGCTCGAGGTTCAGATCCTCCTTTAAGATCTGTTTTGTGCCCTTTTTTGTAACCTGTATGTTGTTCCTCTTCATGGCTCGGCACTCGTTTTCTTGAAAACATTGGAATTATTCGTGTGCCAGTGAATTGGGAAGCAGAGTTAGAGGACGCTGTAATTAGGTCAGAATCATTTGATATGCTGCTGACAGAGCTACTGCTGGTGAAACAAGGTACATATGGTGAAGAAAGGTGTGAAATAGGTTGAACGACAGGAGAGTGAGAGGTCGGCTGAGACGTAATCAAACGAGATAATGAAGATGTGACTACTTGCTTCTGAGTGTCCTCGGGTGTTTTTGTACCTCGCACAGTGAAGGGTTTACATTGGTTGAATTGAGGGGGTGTTTTCTTTGTCAAATTTAAGTGGTTTGGGTTAGAAGCGTGTTTAAGGCTGCTCGTTGGATAGAGTGGAGAAGAGGTAAAAGTCAATGGTGCCCCGCACACAGTTTGCATGCGCATTGAAAGGTCTCTTAAAAAAGAGTTGAAAATTAACTGGTGATCACAGCGAGGAGACACTAACACTTGGCTGCTTCGAATACAGCTAGCTGGGTATCTGCGTCAATGTTAAGAAATTCTCCCGTCTCTATCATGAAATCTTAAAAGAGGTCAAGTTTTGGTCTAGTTAAGTGTAGCCTTTACCGACTGGGCTTATCTCCCATGGCTATTGGTACGCTCCGGATTGAATGCTTGTTCATCGTAGGTTACCACCACCTCTT